ATATATATATATATATATATATATATATCAGCCCTTAGAATTAAGATCAGCATTCACCAAAGCCAAACTAACTGCCATCCTAAAAGTGTCTTTGTTGTTATGGTAAAACCATTGTGGTAAAACTTTGAACAAAACTGATGCCAACAAAAACCAGGTCGACAATATTTTTCTGACCTTATTTTTTGCAATTTCAAGGGCTGTATGTTATATGTATATATTTATATATATATATATATATATATATATTTATATATATATACATATATATATATATATATATATATATATATATATATATATATATATATATATATATATATATATATATATATATATATATATATATATATATATATACCTAAGTGTATATATATATAAATAAAGAAAATATCTTTATATCATCATGTATAATATTGTATACTTAAAAGAGTGCTTAATAGATGAACTAGAGCTATATAGTAAATATGTTACTGCTACCCGCAGTACCAGGAATTAGCTAAATGCTAATGTTTATAATATAATTTAATATTACAATTCTGAGTTTAATGTGTTTACCACAATCATCAGGCAAGTAGTAAAATGTTTCTAAAATGTTCTTGTATTTACTAGAAAAAAACTTCCTTAATACACACAAACTTCACAAAATCTTAAACATAAACACTGTACAGCTAGTGTACCTTAAAATGTATGCGTATCTTAAAATGTTGATAATTGAATCTCTTATATTTTTAAATCAATAGGAAAAAGGTTCATATTATACAAGGAAGTAACCTAGGCATAAAATAATATAATTTAAAATAATAAGTCCTTTCAATGTTAATTATACTCTGACACCTGATGATATTCTGTATTTTTTCTAAAAATTAGAACACATATCCTCACTTAAAACATAAAATTCAGATTCAAAACAAAGAATTAAGTTATAAAGACTATATATGGAAACGATCAGTAGTACAAGGACTATAGTTACTATAGTTACAGCCTTCATTTAAGATTTAAATCAATTTTTCTATTCTAGTTATCATCGAAAACACATTATGATGACCAGTTAAGTCATATTTAAAGCTTTTTAAAATATTTTGACCTACATTTTAGGGTGCACATTGGTTTTCTAAAACCTTTAAAACACTATCTTCATTGTCAATTTAAATTTTACAACTTATTTATCAAATAACACACAAATTTTGAATTAACAAATAAAACACAACTTTAATCAGAAAAAGAAATAAAATAAAATGTTCATAAAAAATAAAATGTTCATAAAAAATGTTATGAGTTGATATTGATGATCGATTCAGAGACTATCATTTTTGGTTTAATACCCTTAACTTTGCAGGATTGCTTGCTGCAAACTGACTTTAACACATTGCAAATAATGAAGGTGTTGTGTATTTGCCTACAGGCACTGCCTGTATGCAAATACACAACACCTTCCTTTACATTGACATTGATTTTTGTATTTGATAAATTGTTCTTTTATTATTGCAGGATTATTTTTATTCGCCTGCTTTTCGTCTTTTTTCTTTTTCTCGTTTTCTTTTTCAGCTACTGCTTCTAAGACCTTTTTACCCTCCATTGATCCATTTTGTTGAGTTACTTTTATGGTTTTTTTAAAGGTGTCTTTTGGGGTAACTTTTGAATATAACAGCAAATCCGGAACATCTTCAAAAGGTAATAAAGATTCAGTAAGATCATGGATAACTCTATATGCATTTTCAAGTTTTTTTCTGTAATTCTCACAAGAACCTGTTCTAACATCGTTAGGGGATGAAACTATTGGGTCTTTTTGTACAGAGCATCGTTTTGGGGTCTGAGAAGACTGAATAGTTGCTATACATCTTGCTGCTTGTTCAAATTTATCATTTTGCATCTAGTTAACAATTAGACCTGACTCTGCAATACAAACCATTTTAGCTGCTTTGATTAAAGATTCTTTTGTTGTCCATGATGACCATATCTCTCCTAATATTTCCATAAACCCAGAACGATCAATTGTCATCATACTAGAAAACAGTTTAGATATACATTGTTGATAATGATGGTGTAAACTAGGATTTACTTTATCCAACATTTGTGTTACACTGTTGTATCTAGCGAACCAATAAAAAGACGAATTTGTTTTTACAACAATGAAAATGAAGGACGCTTAGGTTAAACCTAGAAGAGTGATTCTCTGTTAGTACCACCACAGGTCTCTCTACATTTTTTTCTGTTAACTTATTATCAAAGAATTCATAGAAATCGAGTAGAGAATTGTGATCTTGTACTCCATGTTCTGTACTTGATATAAGCAAATTCAAAATCTTTTCCACAGAGGATTTTAGGGCCTTTTTGCTGGTTATTTCTTTTTCCTGATATTACATGGCAAATAACTACATCCCCAGCACAAGACACAAGTGGGTGAATAGTAATACAATCTCTGTTCTTGAGGATCATTTGATAGCAACTGTCATCCTTTCCAGCAAACACTAACCCAATTGCACTCCCGTTAACTCCAAAGTTTACAAACTGTATAGTTTCATTGTGATTAAATATGCGTTTAGTATCTATTATACTGTACCACACTTCTTCTGAAGTTTTTTCACTGTTCTTCATTATACCTGTGATTCTAAGTTCTTCGGCTAGTTTGTTTAAATGACTTTCGCCTATTTCTCTAGTGCAGTTTAAAGCCCGGTTCATAGAAACTCTCCCTTGTCTCTTTTGAGTAAGAGTGGGGTACTTTGCCATGAATCTTGACCAGAAACGTGATTTATTTGTAAGTATTGCTTCTTCTGCATTAGGCGAAAGCTTGCAGTATAAATACGATACTTTATTATATTAAAAATGACTGTGGACAGTTCTTTTTTTGTAATACCTTGCAGACATCTGTTTTTATTTTTTGCATACAATACTACTGCATTCTTCTAATCCTTTGTCAAAATTGAAAGATGGTTTTTACTTTCACCAATTTTAGCACCATCTAAAATGCGATTTATAGTTCTAGGATCAACACCACCTTGCTTAACAGATTTGTAGCCTCAACAGTTGTTTTTTTTTACAATAATCCACAGCATTTACTAAAATATTTTTGTTCAATTCTATTTCGTCTCTGTAAAAAGCTGCTTGATATTTTGTTTTAAGTCTTAACCTAAGAATGAACTTTAGTCTCATTTTAACATACTTTAACTGTAAAAACAAAATTTAAAAGCATTATGAATAATTTAAAATATAACTTTTTAGTTCTTTACCTGCATTTTAATGTACAAAAATCTACATTAAGAAGTACAGCAGAAAATCTTAAAATCATTAATACAATCTATTTACTTGATTTAACATAAAACAATTAAGAAATTATAACACAAAATTTCAACAGAAAAAGGTTGTTCCAAAGATATTGCCATAAAATAAAATCTATATTTTAAGGTTCACATGGTAAAATAGATCTTATTTTGTGGAGCTATAGCTGATTCATTAAAGAGTGTAAGTGCAACAAGTACCCCAAGGGAATTTAAATGACTATAAGGTACGTTCATATTGTGAAGATTAGCTTTCAGAGCTATTGTAACAAAAAAAATTTATGGCTATTCAAAAAATTACCTACATTTTAAATACCTGTACAAATACCTGTAAAGGTAAGCTACAGTTGCACTGAAAATATAGAAGAAATTATAATAAACCACAAAAAAAAAATTATCTTCCCAAGAATTGAAAATAATGACCCAAAATACAATCGTCAAAACAAAGCAGAATGCCCCCTGAATGGCATAAACAAATCCACAAATATTATATATAAATGCAACACCACAGCAAAAAACCAATCCAACAAAGTTTATATCTTTAAATCTTTGTCCTTAATTTATTTTTAATAATACTTAAGGCAATGTCAATAAGTAGCATTGTCCAAAAGACAAATTTGTTCAAATAAATATTTTTGGTAAGCAATATAAAACAAACTCTAGGAGAGGCATTATTAATTTTTGTTTTGTTTATGCTAACTAATTAAACTTAAAAAAAAATCAATAAGCAGGTAACTAAAAAATATTTAAAAGTGAATTAAATAAAAAACAAGAAAAAAGTGACAACTAAATTTGAATGACACCCAAATGAATGGTCTTCCACTAATTGCTCCTCTGATTAAAAATCAGGTAATTGCTTCCCTGATTAAACATCTGTAATTTCATCAAGCTACATAATATTTAGTAATCAAAATCATTCTTATTGATGATGTAATGAATTCTTGACAAAGAATAAAGGTTTAATAGTCAATAATCTTGCAATTTAGATGTTTGCAGTATGTGAAGTATTTAACCACTTGAAATTGGCTCAAAAAGTGTTTCAATTAAAATAAGAAAACAAATAGTAACTTAGTACAACTTAGGTATACTAAACCACTTTGAAATCGTTAAAAAAATGCATCAGAGAAATATGTGTGCACATCAATTAGAAACTATAAAACATGCACCCAGTTTGACCACCGAGGTTTGGACTATTATACATATATATATATATATATATATATATATATATATATATATATATATATATATATATATATATATATATATATATATATATATATATATATATATATATATATATATATATATATATGTATATATATATATATATATATATATATATATGTACATATATATATATATATATATATATATATATTTATATATTTATACAAATATATATGTATATAATAATCAAGTCTATATAAATATACAAGTATATATATACATATATATATATATAAACACACACATACATATATATATATATATATACATACGTATATATATATACATATGTATTATATATATATATATATATATATATATATATATATATATATATATATATATATATATATATATATATATATATATATATATATATATATATATATATATATATATATATATATATATATATATATATATATATATATATATATATATATATATATATATAACGGGTGATTACTAAAAATCTGGACAAAATTGCTTACATCATATTTCTATATGCAACTAATACTTATTTTTTTAAACAATTTTTCAAATGTACCAGTTTTATCAAGAAAATTCAGATAAACCTAAATCATTCACTGATTCTCATTTTGAAGCAGAAAACTTATCAAGATCGACTATATATGGAATTATTAAACGTGTAGAAGAAGATAAACCATTTGAAAGGCAAACTGGTAGTGGTAGAAAGCCAAAAATAATGTCCAAGCGCGTCATCAGTCAATTTACCAAGTTTTTTGACCATAAATGTGGCATTTCTCAGCGTATAGCTTCAAAAAAGTTCAAATGTTCTCAGTCACTTATTTCTTAGACATTGAAAACCAAAACATCAATAAAAAAAATAAAACAAATGAAGATTTCAAGTCGAATTGAGAGTCAGAGAGCAAAAAACTGACGTTTGTGTGGTCAACTTTATAAAAATTATAAAGATTTTATTTGGGTTCTTGATGACGAGTCTTATTTTACTCTCTCGAACAGCCAAATTAATGGTAATGATAATTCCTATTCAAGTAACATTGAATTAACACCAAACAATGTTAAATTCAAAGAAAAAAAGAAATTTGAAGAAAAATTATTGGTTTACGTGATCATTTTGCCTTTCGGCCAACCAACTTCAGTCTGGAACTGCTATTAACCAGCATATTTATGTTGATGAATGTTTGACTAAAAAACTATTACCACACATCAAACAGCTTCCAAAAAATACCAAATACATAATCTAGCCTGATCTAGCAAGTGCCCATTACTCAAACAAAGCTGTTAAGTTATTAAATGAAAATGGTATAAAGTTTGTAACAAAAAGTGAAAACCTTTCAAATATGCCTAAATGTTGTTGTATTGAGGATTTTTGGTCTTGTATCAAAGGAGATATTTACAAAAATGGTTGGCATGCAGAGAATTTGGATCAATTACGCTCTAGAATAATTTACTGTTTTAAGAAATTTGACAAAGGGCTGGTACAATGCTTGGCAAAGTCTACTAGCAGAAGACTCAACACAATAAGAATACAAGGTCTTGTTGAATTACGATAAACGTTTTTATTAAAATTAATAATAAATTTGCTATTTTATTCTTTTTAAAACAATAAAATAGGTCTTCTAGATTAAAAGTTATTTAATTTTTAGTTTTGTCCAGATTTTTAGTAATCACCCGTTATATATATATATATATATATATATATATATATATATATATATATATATATATATATATATATATATATATATATATATATATATATATATATATATATATATATATATATATATATATATATATATATATATATATATATATATATATATATATATATATATATATATATATATATATATATATATATATATATATATATATATATAGCAAAATTATTTCAAACCTAAGTTCTCTCTAGCATCTGTGATGACATCTCGAACTTTAACATGTTTTTGGTCACTGACAACACACTCTAAATTCTTCCACTCAACAGATCTGAAAAAAAATTAAATAACTATTTAAACATTGGCATTTAATTGTTTACTGATCATTTGTGTTAATTTTTCAGTCCCATAGATATTTTAGATTTAACTGAAATGAATCAAAACCACTCTCCTATGGAAACTTGACAATGTTGATGGGAGTAAGAATTGATCTTAGAAGATGAAGTGTAGATGACTCATCGAGTACATTACCGTTCGTAAATAAAGGAAGATCGAGATTATTGCAATGATGATTAGCTGAAAAAAAATTGAGTTTTATCTGAGTTAAAGTCCACCAGCCAATAAAAGTTACATGCTGTAGCAGAAGCAAGATCCTTTTTAAACTCGAATTTTCCATCAAAACAATCAGAGAGTGTTTGCTTCTTACCAAGACAATAATAAATGGTGTCATCAGCAAATAATGCCACTTAAGATGTAAGAATTTCTGGGAGATTGTTAATGTAAATTAAAAAATGTATAGGGCCAAGGATAGAACCTTAAAGAAGTCCATGGAGGACAACTTTTATACTATGAGTAGAAAATTCACATTTATTAAGTAATAAATTTATTGTAAGAATTAAATTTAAGACTTGATTTTTTTTTTTTTTTCTGTTCTAGAAAGGACTACTGCTTAATTCTTTGTTATAACTTTAATTCATTTCAATTTAACTTTATTTCATTTCAATTCATTCTATTCAAAATATAAAATAAAAAAAATCAAGCTACATCTGCATTTTTGTAATTAAACTTACCTCTGTAAAATTGTGATCAAAGCTTCAACTTCAGGTGTTCATTTTTAAATGTTTTAAGTTGTTTTATTAGATTTCTTTCCCTAAAATATGTAAGTGTGCATATTTTCAGCTTCTATTGCACACAACATAACCATTTTTTAAATGGTGGATTTTTTGGTTTAAGCCAAAGTTAAAATAGATATTATTTTGAAACCATACAGAATTAGATGATGAAAGTTTAGGGTTCATAATTAAAATGTTCATAATTCATGAAAATATTTGAATGGTGTACAAGTCAGTAGAATTTGAGACTTAGAGTTGCATTTTATGAAAAAAATTGGATGTTTTTACATTGCCCACCAGTTTCAACAAGCTGAAATAATAATTTAAAACAGTTTTAACAAATAAAAATTGAAAAATATTTTACTTTACCTTTCCACAACCTGAGCAACTAATAAATTAGCATTTCCGCAAGCTCCAGCAAGTTGAGTTCCATCACTTGACCATGCAATATTAAAAAGAGAACCACAAGTAGGCTTTTCTAAAGTGTGCGACCACTTAAAAATAAACATAAATATATGTTGTAAAATTAAACTTAAATATTTATATGAATATTTAATTGTAATAGAGAAATATTTGATTATATACATGCACATTTAAGTCTCAGAAGAGTTAAAGAAAAGATTATATACACTCACATTCAAGTCTCAGAAGAGTTAAAAAAATGAACCAGAATTTTATAGAGATTTAAAAATTTACAATTTTTTATTAAAAACAATTATGCTAAAAAGTATCAATTTTGATTGCGACAATTTTTAGTTAATAATGTTTCTAAAATTTTTGTATTTTTTTAAAAACCATTATTACTTTTGACATTTCTATTAAATTCAAAGGTCTTCTTTTGAAATTAAATATAATTGGAGTATTCTAATTTTTTGTTTAAAAGTCAAAAATGAAAACCTAAAAAGTAAATGTATATATATATTTCAGCTAAATATAAAGATAAATAAATAAAATAAAAAGATTTATAATTGTAATATGAAATCATTTATTAATAAATTAACTAATTATAATAACTGTTTAATATGAGCTCCATTTTGTTCTTTAATCATAATCATTCTTTTTTGAATTTCAGAAAAAACAATATGGCAAGTATCACAAGTAATTGAATTGATTACACTTGTTATTCATTGCTTAAGTATGTCAGTATGCGTTATTTTTGTTTAAATAATTTCTGTATAACATATCCCCATAAAAAAAATCAGATAGTGTCATATCTGGGGATTGAGTAGCCCATTTGATTGGACCTTGTCAACTAATTCATTTTTTATCAGTAGTGTAGTTTGCATATATATATATATATATATATATATATATATATATATATATATATATATATATATATATATATATATATATATATATATATATATATATATATATATATATATATATATATATATATATATATATATATATATATAATAAAATATTTTTATTAAAGCCAGACAAACTATAAAAAGAAACAATTAAGATACAAATAAAGTTTATTTTAGAAAACTACAAAAATAACAACCAAAGACTTTTTGATTGATTTTTTTTGTTTACCTTGCACCTTTATTGTTTCTTTTTACAATTTGTGACCTTATTTTAATTGCTGGCCTTTTGAAAAGGTCATTAGCGCAGCTTGATCTCACACTTTTAAAAGTTAATAAAAACTAATTTTTGCATGTCTATGAGATTGTATTCAAGTTTTAAAGCCTTTTCTTTTTTGTTAATTTTAGTACTTAATTCAGAAACAGTCTGAGACTTCATCTCATAAGATATAAGGTGAATCAATTCACAATAAATTATGGAAAAAACAGTAAATAAATTAAAATTATTAAAGAAATAATTATTATTAAAGTTGTAATTGTTTTTAAAAAGAATTAAAAAAAATAATATTACAAGTGTACTTTATATTAAAATAAAACTTACTCCAGCCTTGTCGCATAATCTTAAAGTGTTGTATGAGCCTACTGCAAAAAAATCACCTGAAAAATATTAAATTAATACATCAGTAAAAAATTAATTGACACAAAACCATGATTAATCACATCTGTGCCATAAAAGCAAGGATTCGAAAAAACTTAAGTTAATTGAATTTATTGTAGACTCTGCATGCTAATCTGGTATAAAATTAAAGTAAAAAACATTTACTGAAGGTCTAAAACTGTTGTATTTTTTTTTATTTTAATTAACCAATAATAAGACATTTTGGCTAAAATATACCTATTATATGACAAACTAAAAAGCAAAACATATTATAAATCAACTCTTTATACTAGCTTAATTATGACAAGTTAATTACATAAAAAAATAAAGTTTCATAAGTAGTAAGCAAAGGTTATTTCCACTAAAAAGAGACATTTTCACCAGATAGCTGAATCAGGATAGTTAATGACCTCAAGTTTGTCAAAAAATGATTTAAACAAAATTTTAATTTTCAATTTTATTTAAAAAAAAAAAAAACATATTTAAAAAATTTATGAGTTAGCATTTTAAAGCTTAAGCTGCAAAAAATATATTAGGTCACTGTACATTTAAGTATGCAGGGATATATGCTAAGTATGCAGGATAACAGAGTATATAAATAATATATATAAATATATATATATATATATATATATATATATATATATATATATATATATATATATATATATATATATATTAGTTACCCTTGTAATATATACAGTCAGAGACGATTCTATGAATAAAATGATGGTGGTTGAATCCTCAAAAAGTACTTGTTTTTTTTGTTTGGGGAGGGGGGTGTAACATCCCTTCACCTCCATCCCTCGTAAAATCACCTCTGCATAGGGTTTCTGAACACTGTTTAACAGTAACAGTAAAACAGCTGTTTTTTAAGAAAAATCAAAAGCAATAAACAGCTATTTTTTAAATGACTGCGTTTACTGTTTTTTTTAATTTTCTTAAAGTTAAAGCGACAAAAAAAAAAAAAAAAAATCTTAAACTTTTTTTATACGTTCACCATTATAAATAAGTGCTATTTCGATATTATAATGAGTTTTAACAGCATAAAGATTCATTCAAACCTGAAAATGTTTAATTTTTTTCATTCAAACGTTTTTTGATAAAAGTTTCAAACAAGGTTTACTTTTATATGTCATATAGTTTATATTGTCGTTGGTTTCAAATTTAAAAAAATATATATCAAAATTGCTAATAAAAAAGTTTCTTTAACAACATGTTTATTAAAACAATGACAATTTGATTTGACTTTCAATTTAAAATCATACATGAAACAATTTAACATATAATTTTTGGATAATAAGTAACTTTAATAAATAACTTTAATTTAGTAGTTGGCACTTTTTTTTATTAAAAAAAACTGAGCACTAAGGTGAGTACTAGGTTAGTACACAGGTTAATACTTGCACAAAGATTAGTACTAGGTTAGCATACAAGTTAATACTTGCACAAAAGTGAGTACTAGGTTAGCACACAGGTTAATACTTGCACAAAAGTGAGTACTAGGTTAGCACACAAGTTAATACTTGCACAAAAGTGAGTACAAGGTTAGCACACAGGTTAATACTTGCACAAAAGTTAGTACTAGGTTAGCACACAGATTAATAGTAGGGATTTTCTTATTTTAATTGTTCTATAATAGATCTAGTACTAAAATTTTCTTGAAAGTTTATTAATTTATAAATAGAGCTTCTAGAACAAGTTTCTTATTTACATTAACTTAAAAATAACTGTGTAGTTACCAATTAAGAACTGTTTTTTTGATGGTTGGTAAACTTGAAGTATTTAAACTCCCTCTAATGAAGGCGATGCAATGAAACTTCTGCACATAGATTTTTATAAAAAGCAAAAAAAAAAAATATGATTAACACTATAAAACTAAAGGCAGACAATAAAGGAAAATTTAGCATGATTATTAATAAGGTTACTACTTTAAGAGGACAAAGATATTTTGTTAATATTTAAGATAAAATGTTGAAAGCAAGATTAATTTGAATTTCGAGATTAAAAGATTAAAGATTTAAGCAACACCTTAAGTACCTTAAAGATAATGATAAAAATGAATATAGTTTTTTTGATGAAGGAACTAATTATGAGGTTATAAATGATGAGTAATTATAAATGATGATAATGACTACAATGATTTACTTAAAAACTCATGCAAGTTGATAAAATACATCAAACTGTTAAGTGTTCAAAATCAAAAGTTAAGGCTCTACTTGAAAAAAAATAATAATAAACTTCATCTTGCTGTAAAAAATCTCTGGAACACAATACCAATAATGGTAGAGCTATTAAAAAAGAAATAAGAACTCAAGCAACTTCTTTAGAATTTAGGGCAGATTTAGTTGGTTGGAAAAATTTCTGAAAATTTATAAATGTTTCCTCCTGTGTATTAAGCACCTACAAGTACTCATTTATAAATAAAAAATTTTCCAAATTTAAAAAAACAGTAAAACAACTGTTAACAGCTGTTTTTAAAAATTCTAAAACAGTAAAACAGCTGTTTTTCAAAAACCACTGTTTTTTAGAAATCCTACCTCTGTATACAATCCAAAAATTTGCGGACAGACAAAATAAATTGAATTTTACAAAAATTTCAGCACATACTTTCCTAAATCTAATATATTATATACTAATTAAAAGATTTTCATGTTTTAAACTTTTATGTTTTGAACGAATATTGATTATTCAATTAAAGTAATTTAATTGATTTAAAAATAAATGACTTTTAATGAGCTTAAAATTTTGCAGACATACTGAAGTTTTTCACATTTTTCTCCAAGAATTACTAATTTATTAATATTTCAAAAAAATATCTGGTGGAAATAATTAAAAAGTTTCATTTATAAGTGATTGAGGTCACAGGATATAAGAAATGCATAATACCTCCAGTGAAAAAGTTAATAGCAAGACAGTATGGTTTTATGGAATCAGTAAATCTTTTGATAGACAAATTATGTTTGGAAGATGCTCAGCCTAAATGCCATTGATTTCCTTGAAAAACTGAATCGTCCAAGAAGAATTAACATCACAGCATTTAAAGTGAAGCACTCAAAACTGGTCATTGATTCTTTTTAGTGATAAAAACAATTTTATGCAGCTCAGATCAGACGGAATCAAGGTTGTTTGACGTTCAGTAAGTACAAAATATGATCATAAATCCTAACTGCTTATTGTAAAACATGGAGGAGGTAATGTAATGTTTTTTGGATGTTTTAGTTAGGACGGTGTTGATCCACTCCATAGATATACTTGAACTATTGATCAAGAAATATACAAAACCACATGTTGGAGAATGTTACCTCATGCAAAGTATAAAATGCCTCTTGGATGGATATACCATTAAGAAAACAATCCCAAACAGACAGACAAATGGGTTTAGATATTTTCAAAAGGGGTAAAGTTCACGTTTTAAAGTTAATACCCTAATCAACTGGCTTAGTTGACATTAGATGTCATTAAATATTTATGGAACATGTTGACTGTCAAATATTAGCCATCAAGCTTACAAGCCATTTTAATTTATTCAGAAATTTATCAAAGAAATATTGCATCCAATTCCCATTGATTTTGCATTAATTTAGTTGACGAGATGCAAAGCTGCTCAGATTGTAAAGATAGTCATACAAAATAGTAATGTGCTTTTACATTTCTTATAAATTTTGATCAACTAACATTGAAAAACTCCTAATTTTTAAAATACAAACACTTTGTTCGCAAATTTTTTAACTATTCAAAAATCATTATGTTTTAATTAATTAAAATAGGTTGATTTAATTATTAATACTTGTTCAAAAAACATAACAGTAAATATAAAAACCTTTTAATTGATATTTAATATGTTGGCTTTAGTAAAGTATGGGTTGAAATATGAGAAAACTTCAAATTTTGCAAATTTTTAGATGCTACTGCATATTTATATATATATAGATATAATATATATATATATGTATATATATATATGTATACATATATATATATATATATATATATATATATATATATATATATATATATATATATATATATATATATATATATATATATATATAGATATAGATATATATATATATATATAATATATATATATATATATATATATATATATATATATATTATATATATATATATATATATATATAACATATATATATATAATGTATATATATATTATATATATATATATATATATATATATATATATATATATATATATATATATATATATATATATATATATATTATATATATATATATAATATATATATATACAACATATATATATATAATATATATATATATATATAATATATATATATATATATACATATACACATATATATATACATACATATATATATACATACATATACACATATACATATATACATATATATATACATACATATACACATATACACATATATATATATATATATATATATATATATATATATATATATATATATATATATATAGGGATGTACACTCGTGGTCGCCCGATGGCACCAGGCGACCGAATATTGTGAAAGGCGACTCAAAATATTTTTTTTATGCAATCAAGTCGCCCGAAAGGGCGACTATTGATTTTTATCAGCAGTTCTATTTTTTTGTGTGTGTAATTTAAGAGATTTGTTATATCAGCGGTTTATTGTAACGCATGCAAAGTTCATGGTGTAAAAGGTATTTTAAGAAATAAGTCTTGTTATATTGATAATATCTTAACGTATTTTTACTTATTATTTTTTGGTAATATTAACAATCAAAATTTATATAAATTAATTTAGGCAATTTTATATTTATTTAATTTAGTATTTTAATTTTTAGGCCAAATGCATACGAGTTAATGTACCAGATGGGTTACGAGTTAAGTACCAGATGGGTTGTGCATATGGTAAATGCGTTGGAGAATCTTCTCAATGGTCTAAAAGCGCATATTCATAGTTATACCACTATCAGCTTGGAAAGCGACTACAGCGCAACACAGAAATCAAAGGCTAAGTTCTTTGCAAAGAAATTGGTTGATCAGCACTTAATGTCAACGGCGATCTATATTCTTGATGTGTGTAGAGCAATGACAATTTTTTCAGAGGCATTAGTAAAGTTTATTCAGAGTATTAATTCAACACAAACAAAAGTTATAAGCTTTAGAAATAAAAAACTAAAAAAGTATATATAATTAGGTAATATGTGAGTTTATTGTAATATATACTAATATTATTGTTATTAAACATTTTAGAAGTATAAACTTTGCGATAACTACCATTCAATAATCAAAGTAAAATGTTTACAAAAGATAAAAACTTTGTTATAAATAGATTTTGTCGCGCTTTTTTTGAACTATTTAATTAAAAGTCTATTAAAATTTTCTTGAAAGAACAAATTCATTCGAATTTTATAATTATATTTTGTTGCTCTTATACTTAGAGTTTTTTCAGAATAAGAAATTTTTTCTAATTTATTATTTCCTAAACGTTTATTGATTAAAATTTAATTTTTCAAAATAAAATATAAAAATTATTATTATTTGTATATTGATAAAATATATAATTTGTCGCTGTAAATTATATATTGAATTAACTACTAAATTCAAATATTTAAGTACATATATAACTTAACTATATAGTATTTAATAAAAATACACTATTGCTTTTCAAATTAAAACGTTAATGTAACAAATATTAAATTGTTTACTTAGAAATTTAAGAATATACCAATAATAATAGTTTTTGTTTTTATTAGGTTAGCACAAAAAAAAATGTTTCAACGTATGAAGTTAAGTCTTCGCTCGAGCAACTTAGAAAGATTCGAAGAAAATCCAGACGCTGGTTTTTACTGGAACAACCCAGTAGGCATGCGTCGTCCGGGGGACGTTCATTAAACGTCTTACGGACGTCTGGACATCCATGAGACGTCCAGCAGACGTCCTACAGATGACACTTGCCCACTGGGAAGCGCTCGATATATAAAAGTATGAAGCGCTCGAAGTGATAAAAGTATGAAGATCGAGTTTTTATTACTACATCCATGCAAAAGTGCATTTTGAAACGATATTCAAATGTATCAGATGTCTTTGCGGAGGCGGACGAGTTGCTTAACACAGTTGAATGGACGGAGAGCAACTTTTTCACGGCTGAAAACAACAAAAAGTTACATAAAAACATGCTAGACAATAACATAAAAGCCTTTATTGACGACGATATGCTTTGCAACAACTCGAATATAAACGAGTAGATGTTGGAAATATTTTATCAGAGTGGATAATATTGAAGAAAATAATAGCAACTTGGACAAGTGCAAGTTCAAAATCATTTCCACCGCTATCTATATAAATCTATATTAACCAGATAGATTAGCGAATCTATCTATATAAACTAGATAGATTCGCTAATCTTTTTTCTCTGATTGATTTTTTATTTTGCCATAGCTTAAGTTCGGCAGACGCGGAAAAAGGCTTTAGCGCAATGAAAAACATTAAATCAATTCAAAGAACACGAGTCAGTAACAAGTTATTAACGATCGTATAATTCCAGAAATGGAATTATATGATCCAACAAAAGCCATTAAACACTGGCTTTTAAAACCATCACGAAAAAATAAAACTAGCATTAATCAAAAAAGCTTTACATGGACAACAAAACTCCAGTTGTGTCAGTTAAAAAGTCAAAGAAAATACAGATTTTTGCTAGAAGCGATGATGATAGTGATAGAGCTCTAACAATTGATGACGATATATAATAATTTTGAATCTTGAATGTTTTTTACCTTTCAAAATATAAATAGTTTTTCTTGTAACAAATAAGATCGTAATAATTACAACACATTAAAAGCAAAGGGTTTTAAAGTACTTGTACATTGTTTTTTATATTTGTCAACAGTTTTTTGTTGTAATCAAACGTCTATTTTTTTTATAAAAAGAGCGCTCAAATAAAGTTTAAAAATATAATGGCATGTGTTTTTTTTTGAAAGTAGAAAAGTGAATTTTATTAACAGTTTTCAATATTACTTTTATTTGCGCATATTGTTTCTAGTGCACATTTAGCCATATAACAAAAAATGACTAAAACATGCGAGAACTTCGCTAAGTGGAAATTTAAAAAAAAAAAGGCAACGGGCGACTCAAAACGTTGGCGGGCGACCAAAATTAACAAACTGGTTAGTTTCAGTCGCCCTTCTGGCGACTGACCAAAAGTCCGAGTGTACACCCCTGATATATATATATATATATATATATATATATATATATATATATATATATATATATATATATATATATATATATATATATATATATATATATTTATATATATATATATATTTATACATATATATTAGGGCCCTTTCGAAATGAATCGAATCAAAAATATGAATGAGATACAATTTGAAAATTTTCAAAAATTCGAATACTTATTTTGTTTTTGTTGTGGGTTTTTTTAGATATTCTGCGCTTTAACGCTATCAAGATAACGTTACTTATCCTTAAATATCTTTTTAATCAGTTATTAAAAAGGTTAACCAAGATGCATGCAAGAAGCATGTGTGTGTGTAATAAAAAAGCATACCATCAGGAGCCCATGAAACTGATGTGATAGGATACTCATGAACAATACTTGTAAACAAATTGCGTCCAAACATATCCCATACCTAAAAAAATATAATTTCAACATATCCTACTGTATTTAAGGTTAAATCTTAAATCAAGATGTAATTTTAAAGGTAATGACAACTACTGATATCAGAATGTGAATACAGATAGTTAGCACAATTAGCATTAAATAACAATTAAAATTAAATTCAACAATAACTAAAAAATAACATTCATAAAAAGTATACTTTATATTTACAATCTTCAGCACCAGATATAAGAGTATTGTTTGTTGTATTCCAATCAACTTTTAAAATGATTCCTTCATGTGCCTTCCACTTAAAAGTACAAAAGTATAAAACTTATGAAAGCAAAAAGAACTGCTTTACTGCTTCATATTACGTCAATTAACAAATGTAAAATCAATTTGCTTTTATATATTAAATACTAAAACCTAAAAACTAATTTTATGTCAGAGTTGAGCTCCTCTAAATTCATAAATTTTTGAGAAAGAATATAAAGTTTAATAACAGGAAAAAATATTTAAAAAATAATAAAAATAAAAATATAAGAATGAGAAAAGAACAGGTTAAAATATATTTGAATTTTTTAACCTATCATAAGAAAATGCCTGAAAGGCACTATTCTATCCATTTAAATGATAATGATAAAATAAATAATAAATTAACTGTAAAAATAAAAATTAAATAATTATATTGTATTAATAAAACAATATTAGGTTTCAAAACAACAATCATATATATATATATATATATATAATATATATATATATATATATATATATATATATATATATATATATATATATATATATCAGATTTGGACAGGAATGACGTGCGATCGCACTCTGTAACTGACCACGCTAATATTTTTATTTCTTTACAACTTGACCACGGCTATTTTGATGTTTTAACAATTTGAACGCAATAAAAAAAGTGTAGTGTTATAAATATCTTTTAATCGTTGATCTTGTCTAAAGTTTTTTATTTTACGCAAAGGCTTTAAATAAAACCATAAAATTAATTATAGTTATTGTGCACATATACGCTTGTGTAAATTAATAAAAAATGTTATAAATAAGCTTTTTTTATGTAGGCATTTATTTTTTATGATAAATTTAAATGTTTGAAACTATTTTCTTATATCTTCCTAAAACATTTTTAAACCATTATTTTTAGAAAGAATTTTTTAAGTTACTTTAATTTATGAATAAGTTCAAAAGCTTTTGTGACTACAAACTTTTACACATTTTATGTGAATTAGACAAGAATATCAAATAACTTTAATTACTTATATAAGCATGTATTTTGTTGATTTAATAAAAAAGTTTTAAAGCATTTTGTAATGTTCATACGATTAATTTTTATGATTAAACTTACAATTTTTTTAAATGTTTTAAACAAACATTTTATTTTTTGTAAACTATTTTTTTTTTTTTTTTTAATTTTGTTAGAAATGATTTATAAAATTTTTTATAATAATTTTTAAATTCATTACGCGAAGCGCTTATTAATAAAGTTGTAACGCTCAAATTAAAATTAAATTAAAAAGCTTGTAGGCAGTTCATTTTATTTAAATCGCAGGCTCTTTTTATGTTTTATTTTTTATTTTTTCTATTTTTACGAATAAAAAAGTTGAAAACCTTTTTTTAATTAGACTCACTAATTAGAGCATGAAATTAGTAAAAATTACTATTTTAAAAAGACTACGTTATTTTTTTAAACAATTTTTTTTTTTTTTGCAACTTTTTTGACAAAATAAATGTTTATACAATTTAAAAATATTATATAAAACACTTTTTAATAAATTTAATTAAATTTGTTCTTTTATTAAACCAATCATTAGTAGTAATTTGTTACTTAATTTCAAAAAGTTGTGCTTCAAGTTTAAGTTTTTATTTTCATTTTAGTGCTTATACAATTTCTTTTTCGTTATGAATTTCTTTTTCGTTAGTTTTTTGTTTTTTTTGGTTAGTTTTTTTTTTAATTTTTTTCCCAGTTTAAGTTTAGCTTAGCGTTTCTACATTCAGAACATTTCTGAAATTTTTAACTCATCAAAACATATAAACATTGTTTATTAAACAATCGTGGTCAATTTGTCAAAAAATAAAATCATTTGCGTGGTCAGCAATAGCGCTCGATGGCACGCCATTCCTGCCCAAGCCTGATATATATATATATATATATATATATATATATATATATATATATATATATATATATACATATATATATATATATATATATAAATATATATATATATATAAATATATATATATATATATATATATATATATATATATATATATATATATATATTATTTATAATATTATATCATATATCTGTCATCATCATTATATACATATGGGAATTCCGGGAGAGTGGCAGTCGTAACATTTCACACTCTATAAGCTATTAAAAATGAACCAAAAATGGAAATGACTTGAAACTTTCCAAAAATGTGAAATACTATCATATAATTTAGTATATAAAAGTTACAGCATTAAAGACTTTTACATACTAAATTATATGATAGTATTTCACATACTAAATTATATGATAGTATTTCACAACTTTTTTCAAAAATTAATTCTACGTGACAGTTGTAACACTCACTATTAACTACTTCTGAGTAAAACAACTTTGTCAGACTTAATGCCAGGGCTGTAGAGTTGGAGTTGGAGTTAGAGTCGGTGTTGCGGAGTTATGACATTTTCAGCAGAGTCGGAGTCGCTAAACAAAATCGCGACTCCAAAAATCAAAGCAAAAATTTTGAAAAATTCAAAGAATTTTTTAAAATTTTTGCTTTGGAGTTAGAGTCGGAGAAGGAGTTGGAGTTGAAGTCGGAGTTGTACTCAAAAAATTTTAACAACTGGAGTCGGAGTCGGAGTCGTTACTTTTTTTTACAAATCCACATCCCTGCCTAATGCTGCGAATGGCATGGTAAAAATAAAAATCATTTGGTGTGTGTATTTAGCACATACTGATATTATTATCAGGGGTGAACCAATGCCTACTTTTGGCCGATGACGACGGGTACAGGCCGATGCATCGCCATCAGCCCTGATACTAGATATATGATGGAAATATATACTTGAATGAAAATGCCACCTTCCATTCATATGACAATGAAAGCAATATTTTAAAATTGTTACTATTAAAGTTTATTTTCCATTTATTTTTTTATTGTTCTCTAGATAATTAGTGCAATTACTTCAATTAAAAAGCTCATTTTATAAATATTTATTTTTGTCATTCTGTTAAATTAAAACAATTTTGTTTTTTATAAAGTTTTTTACAAATGGAAGATTTTGATGTCGTTACTTCCAATAATTGGCAAGTTTTTAGCAAATGTTTTTACCAAATTAAATTATAAAACAATACTTATACTAAAATGTTTATTTATTAAACACTTCAACTTAAAAATTAACATTTTTATTATTTAATTTTTTTTTTTTTTTTTTTTTTTTTATTTGCATTCACTCCCAACAAGGCTGCAAGCAACCACTATTAAGTTGGGAGTTACTAGGAAAAAAAAGAAGAACAGAGTTATAGAGCAAGGAAACGGTTGACAGAAGACTTAAAAAGTTGAAGGTTGTATGAGTCAGGAAAACATGAAGATGGGAGAGAGTTCCAAAGGATTGAAGTGCGGGGAAAAAAACTAGATGAATAAAAGTTTTTAGAGCATGCAGGGACAGATACATTAAACGAATGAGACTTAGCTGAATGACGAGTAAAACGAGAATGAATTTTAGTTGATGGAACTAGAGATGATAACTCCTTTGAGCAGTGACCATGATAGTATCTATAGAAAAGAGAAAGAGATGCAACTTTACGACGATGGGAAAGAGGTTCAAGCTTAGCAGATAGTCCAGGTCCAACAACATTTACAATGCGTTTTTGGACCTTGTCAAGAAGAGAAAGAGAATCGTTAGAAGAACCAGCCCAAATATGACAACAGTATTCCATACAGGGTCGAATAAGAGATTTGTAGAGGTAGAGAATGGAATCAGAAGTAAGGAAATGGCGAGCACGATAAAGAGAAGCAACCTTAGCAGAAGCTAATTTAGCAATCGATTGTATATATGGTTTCCATGAAAGGTCAGTAGTAAGCGATAATCCAAGAAGACGTAAAGAGGATGACTCAGTAAGAGGATTGCCATTCATTAATATAGGAATGTTGACCATATTACGGTAGTTGTTTGCAGTAAGCAATTGGGTTTTTTTAGAGTTGAAATTCACAAGCCACTGTGAACCCCAATCAATTACTGAAGTGAGATCGGATTCAAGATCAGCTGCTTGTTCTAGGCGATCGAAAAGAGAAGACTTTTTGTCAAGACAGGAGTATAAAGTTGAGTCATCAGCAAAAAGAGCTACTTTAGATGAAAGGTTGTCAGGAAGATCGTTTATGTAGATAAGAAACAAAACAGGGCCCAGGATGGAACCTTGGGGAACCCCAGAAGTTACTGGAAATAAAGAAGAGTGTTGGCCTTCAAGGATGACTTTAATAAACCGGTTAGAAAGAAATGATTTGATAATCTCAAAAACTTTTCCAGAAACACCATATGAAGCAAGCTTATGGAGAAGACCAGCGTGCCAAACTTTGTCGAAAGCTTTAGATATGTCGAGAGCAATAGCCCTAGCCTCACCGCCTCCATCTAATGCACGATAAAATCTTTCATTTACAGCAGTTAGCAAGTCGGCCGTGGAGCGAGAGGATCGAAAACCGTATTGATTGTCTGACAGCAGTTTATTTGACTCAAGATGAGATGTGAGGAATTTGTTGATCAAAGACTCAAAGACCTTGCTAATAACAGAAAGAAGACTGATGGGACGATAATTAGAGGGGTCAGAATTTTCTCCAGAGTTTTTGAATATTGGAACCACAGATGCCATTTTCCAAGAAGCAGGAAAACAAGACTCAGTCAAACACTTGTTAAATAGTTTAGAGAGAATTGAAGAAAGTTCTGGAGAACAGTTCTGCAAGACTGTGACAGGAATGTTGTCTGGACCACAAGCTGTAGACGAGTTTAATTGAGATATGACTTTAGCAACAGAAGCCGGAGTGATTTGAATGTCTAACAATGGGTCAACCTGTTTGACTGGAATGGAAGGAAGAGAATGTCCATAAGATTCAAGAGTGGAATTAGAAGAAAAGTTCTTTGCAAACAGTTCTGCCTTATCCCTGGGAGAGGTAACAAGATCAGTCCCATGAATGAGAGATGGAATGTTAGATCTACCCTTGTTAACAATGCTGTTGAAGATTTTCCAAAAGTCTTTAGAGCCTAACTTCTGCGATAAGATGCGAGATTTAGTG